ACACCCTAATATTAAATTTACTATGGAAACAAAAAAGGATAATTCAATTAATTTTTTAGACTTAAATATTATTAAAATTAATAAAGGCCATAGTGTTGGGATATTTCATAAGCCATCACATACAATAAATAATAGTTCATCTCATCCATACAAACAAAAGCTGACATCATACAACAGTATGATCCATACATCAGTTAATATCCCCCTTACCAAAGAGAACTTCACAAAAGAATTAAATATTATTAAACAAATTGCAGTAAACAATAATTTTAATTCAAAGTTAGTAGACAACAATTTAGGGAAAAAACTTTTTAAACATGCTATTCAACAAGTTTATCCCATAATTAAAGATCAAAATTGCAGATATAAGACTCTTACATATATAGGGTGTTTCCGAACTTGGCGTCCAAATTTGTAGGGGTGGTAGTTCGCATAATTTGAGACCCATTCGCAGATTTAATTTTTCCAAAATATTTAAAATAAAAATAATTAAAAATTAATTAAAAATTTTAAATAGGTACGGTCCTGCACAGCGATGCGATTGCCTCGACTCGTGCGCGCTACGATCGGTTTGCTTAGAATCGACAAAATTGCAAATCGTATCTGTTTTTGAGTTGTAAATCCCGATGAGTAACCGATAAGGCAACTATTGCGCTACGCGCTCAGGGTAGGACCTGCTCTTTGATTTTTTTTTATAATGGCTCTATTTTGTTTATTATATTTTTTTTAGAAAAATGAAATCTGCCAATCGCACACAAATTATGCGAACTACCATTCCTACAAATTTGGACGCCAAGTTCGGAAACACCCTGTATAGGAGCTCCTAGTGAAAAGGTATCATCATATTTAAAAAAACCAAGGTATTAACGTAGCTTTCAAAACCAATAATACCCTTGGGAAGTATATTAAAAACAATAAGGGTAAAATTAATCCTAATAATAAATCGGGGATATATAAATTAAATTGTGGTAGTTGTCCAAAATTGTATATTGGTCAAACAGGCCGTACTTTCAAAAAGCGCTATTCCGAACATTATAATAGCTATACAAAAAACAAAAATAATTCTACTTACTCAAATTATATTTTGGCTGAAAATCATTCTTTTACAGACAACTTTGAATAGAAAATAAGGGCATTAAACTTAACCATTTAGAAACACTTGAAATAAATAGATTTAAAAATTCAGATAACCCACTAAATAATCAATTATATATAATTAACTCACCTTTATTAAATCTCTTTCCTAGTTTTCTGTGAGATAATCCCGGTAATGATACTATCTTATTGTTATCTGACTGATATCATAATTACTTAAGTACCCTTATTTACTTGAAATAGTCAGTTTATTTTGTTATGTTATTAATATATTTTCTTAATTACTTTGTTTGGTTAAATTACTTCGCATATATATTGGACACCGAATTGTAAATTAGTCACATTTGAAAAAATAGTTTATTTTTATTCTTTTAAAATAAATAAAAGTTTTGTGAAAATCTACCAAATTTGGTTTTACTCATTTAAGATAATATGGATTTTCATCAAGTAAAGGCCGAAACAATAAATAATTTACGGTCCAATTGATCTAGGCGTTGATCAATGTGATGGAACCGAGCATTATCTGGAATGTCACACGTGCAACGAATACCAGATGATTGTTTAGCTACTGTCTTGGAGATGTGAGATGGTTGACCAACTGGTTTCCTGTCTAAAAGTGTCTGACTCATTATCAACGACCGAGTAACTTCGGTTCTGAAAGTTGCCAGATCAGAATAATCTGATCGACTGGCATGAACGGGTCGATAAAGAAAATAGGCATTTGTCAAGGAGATATCCAGCATATGATATAAGATTAATTTCAGGGAGGCAATTTTGGTCTTCAAACGAATGTGGTACCGACACATTAGACCATCCATGTGATGATTGTATTGACAAATGATTCGAGGACAATTAATTTCACAGTAGGTCTTTTCGGTTCAGGAGCAACGTGCGACTTTCTCTTGCTTATTCGGATTCGCAGAAAAAAAGATTTTACAACGGCATAGGTTTTTAATATACCTGAATTTGAGCAGCTTCTAATGGATTATATTAACCAGGTTCAGGCGAAGATGGTGTTGGCTCATCTAATAACGACCTAGTGATTTAAAAAATAAAACCGTTATGAGCTTTGATTGAATTGAAAGTACATGAATTATATTATTAGCTGAATTTGAGGAGCTTCTACAGGATTTAATTAACCGGGCTGGTAAAGTTTGCTCATGTTGAAACTAATGTGATTGTGTCTGATAACAAATCCGTTTCTGATTTTATTAATGTGTCAACTAGTGCTTCGTCTTCTTGCTAGATTTGCCAGTCTTGATCTTTGACACTATCATCATCATCATCATCGAAGTCAGCATCATCTTCACCATCTTCTTCGGATTCTGGGTCTAATACACTATCCAATAAGACAGACATCGGCTTATCAGTTAATTTTGAAAATTTCAAAGATTTTTTTTCGAAATCAGTGTAGAGAAGAACTTTATTTATTGTCTTTTCTTCTTGTGAATGCATTTCTGTACAAAAGAATACTGAAATAAATAAATAAATACACTAAGTAACACTGTATTTATCCATTATTTTATTTACTATGAAATGAAATTGTTAAACTACGATAAAACAAAGATAAATCAAGAAACAGATATGAAAATAAACAAAGAAGTATCAATTACACGTGAATTCATTGGTGCTTGAAAACTATTTCTAATTTAAACACAAAAAAATTATTTTGTATTAGGAAAGTACATAATAAAGACAACTTACCAATATTTTTTTTATTCCGGTAGCACCAAGAGAAATATTTTAATTTTACAAAAAATGTCAATTTTCAACCCTAATTTAATACGTGTGCATTCCAAACACTTGGCGACAGACCTAAAACTAGATGCGATACAAATCTAATGGACCCAATTATTAGATTTTGAACAAATTATTATGGGACTACCCCTAAAGTACACTCTTTCTAACAAAAAAAGAATCATTGAAATCGGACACTCTGTTAAAAAATTATCGCTGAATATACATAAAAAAAATATACCGAGGAATTGAGAACCTCCTCCTTGTTTGAAGCAGGTTAAAAATGGAAGAGAAATGCCTTGAATAAAAAATTACAAAATTATCTTTTTTCCGAAAACAAATTTTAAGGGGTTAAAATATAGTTTCCGCACTTTATAATTCTTATTCCAAGTGAGTTTTAAAATTTTTATTCATTTAAACAAAACGTATTGTTTAAACTCATTGTAGTTTATTATTACACCTATTTATTAAATATATAAATTATTTTATTCATATTAACTTTGGTGCAACAATAACTATTTAATTTTAAAATTATCGTTCATCTGTAATAAAATTAATAAAAACATTAAATTACAGAGTGATTTAATCGTAATCGTTAAGGGTACATTTTTAAAGTTAACAGAGTTGGACTATCAACAATAATATTAAGTTAAATATACCAATAATTTTTATACAAAGAAAGTATGTGACTTACTAACTTACAGCACAAACGCCTTAATCTATAAGAGCTTGAATTTAAGAAGTTTTTGAGATACAGTAAGCACTTGCCGAAAAAAGATTTTTGTGAATTTCATCCTAAATGTGTAAAAAGAGAATTAATTTATTAAATAAAATACCTAAATCTGAAAAACAGAAAAATTTAAACCTGTGAAAGTTTATTCTTAGAATGGCTTGTAGATTTTTACCGAATAAAACACGGGAGCGAATGTATGGTTACAATTTTTGCAGTACTATGACTTGGCATGATTGGCTTTTTGTGCCCTCCTAATATACTTATTGTTTCTCAAAAATGATCTTAGTGTCACCTAGTATGTGGTTTTTTGATTAGTTAAAACAATTATTGTAACAGCTTTTTTTGTATTGTTTCTTCTCTGTGGGCGCAAGAGAGCATGTAAACGTTACGACTGATTCTTATCTGGTTGGCTTTTTTAGTTTCCTTAATTTATACATTATTTTTAAAAAATTACTTGTGTGATTATTACTTAATTAATCAGTTTTACCCTCCGGTTCCGGACTAGCCTTATGAATTAGCGCAATATGTTGTATGTATTTCCAACAGATTCCCATTGCAAATAAAAATTTGCGTTTTGAAATTTTCCAGAAATCAAGCAAAACGGCGCTGTGAAAAAAGAGAAGATGTATTTCTTTTTTAAATGCAAGGAAATTTTAGTTAAACATTTAATTAAATTAAAGCCATCCCTCTCCGACTCAAGATTTTCTTTCAAAGCCTCACGGGTTCACTCGTAATGGGGTGACTTATAGAGGGATCATTATTATTAATTAGTGACTGAACTGAAATAATTATTAATCTGAAATTTAATTCAAGGCAAACTTTTTACCACGTACGAGTCTTTATTATTAATAGTAGCAATTAGTCCCGCATCTGACTGCACAAAATTTCGTCGTGTTTCTTTGCTTTAATCATATAAGCTATTTGTTTGAGTTTAAATATTTATTTATACCTTCTTGTGACTGAATAAAAACTAGCAATAAATTTAATTTCTGTTAGAAATATGTGCTAAAGTCGCGTATGGTTATTAGGGATGAAAAACTGTAGGCGTGGTTTATACTGGGTTAATATATTTCATAAACTCGCGTTTGAATGGCGATTCTACACATTTTGTCTAAAAAAATATTAAAAATGGGGGACTTCAAAAGTTTGCTTGGAAAGTACTTTTTTTTAAATTTTTATACACATATTTTTAATATTTTCTTTATTTACATGGGCTTCAAATTCAATTTAATACCTTTCTGGCTATACTTGGAATAATATAAGAAACAATAAACAATATAGCACACTAAGAGTATCATATAATAAACATTTTATGGATATTAAATAATAAAAATAAATAAAACAATAGCACTAATTAACTTTGCTATTGTTATAAATTTGGCCAAGATCTTATAAAATAACCAATTGGCATCTAGATTTACTTTCAGTTTTAAAAATGACGAATTTATCTTCACTAATTATTTATATTGTGATCGGCGCTATAACTAAATCCGTTTTTTCTTCACATCATGATGATTATTACCACGAATTTCACAGAGAGGGTGAGTAAACTCAATAAAAAAATATTGCGTGTCGTCATTAACTTACAGCTACAAAATTCGATAAATAATTATGTAATTACTATTGCGCCAAATGTACTTAATTTAGACATTAACGTTAATTATCACAGTTATTAGCAATTAATATGATTATCCAAAATTTTAGATTATTAGAAATGACTGTACAGACTAATAATATATTTATACAGGGTGTTTATTAATTGAGTGCCGATACTTAAGGGTGTGAATCCTTAGGTAATTTTAAGAAGAAAAGTTAATATTAACATATGTCGTAACTCACTTAATTTTTGAGCTACAGGGTGTTACAGTTTTAAGAAAAATATTACTTTTTTATCATAATTTTTTTATCACTTCAGATATTTCTATAAAATTTTGTACACACGTTTTAATAATTAAGGAGCATTTTTTGACGTACAAGATTTCTTTAAATTTTTACCAGTGACGTCCGTACGGGGTTTGAACTGAATATTTTTGAAGAAAAAAATGGTACGCCACTGCTTTTTCTGAAAACCAAAATTATTTTTGAAATCATCATTTATTTTGGAGCAAACTTAATTTATAGACTTACTTTCGTACGATGCACCGTTTTCGCGTAAAAAAATAAAAACCATTGTAGTGGTTGGTCAAATTGTTTCCTTAAATTCATTGATACCTACTGCTTTTGATATTTTCTTGAAATCTGGTAGGCACCCACCATGCGTGGAAACATTTTTTTGGAACAAAAATTAATTTTCTACGTTTTGAATAGAAAAAAATGGTAAGCGCATTATTGCCCTCTTAAAGCAAATGAAATAAACATTAGTAGGCTGGGTGAAGCGTCATCATTTTTGACGTTTCTTTTCATAAAGACAATAAAGTTGACATTGATTTTACATTATTAAATAATTATTATTAGAGTAAGAGTTAAAATCTGAAAAAAAAATGGTAAATTTTACGAACAGTTAGCTGACATGCATTTTAGTTATGGGCTTGCAGACGGAAATGCATACGAAGCCAGACGGATATACCAAGAGCGGTATCCAAATCGCGTACTACCCGATACGAGAACATTTTCTAGGATTCATAAACGTCTTCACGAGACCGGAACTTTAAAAGTAGACCACAGGGCTAAAGGAGTCCATCAAACAGTAAGAACACCGGAACTTGAAGAAGGAATTTTACATGAAATTGAGGAGAACCCCGAAACTAGCACGAGGAGAATCGCGTCAACATTTAATGTTTCACATGTACTTGTTTGGAAAATTCTCATCGAAAATTTGTTATACCCATATCACATTCAAAAAGTCCAGGCATTACTCCCTAGAGATTTCCCGTTGCGCATTAATTTCTGTGAGTGGTTTCTTCAAAACCTGCTGGAAAATCCATTATTTGACAGGCACATTATTTTTACCGATGAAGCTAATTTTTCTCGAAACTCAATAATAAATTTCCATAATAACCATTTATGGGCGGATAAAACCCTTATGCAATTGTTGAGTCAAATCATCAAGAACAGTTCTCATTAAATGTTTGGGCTGGCATTATTGATGATTATTTGATAGGCCCATTTTTTCTCCCAAGAAGATTTGATGGACAATCATATTTACACTTCCTTGAAGATGATCTGTCGCCAATGCTTGAAGACCTTCCTCTTTTATTAAGAAACCAGATGTGGCTAATGCACGATGGTGCGCCTCCACATTTTAGCTTACGAGTGCGTGAATTTTTAAATCACACCTATCGCAATCGGTGGATAGGTCGCGGAGGAACGCCGTCATGGCCGCCTAGATCTCCCGACCTTAATAGTTTAGACTTCTTTTTCTGGGGGCATCTGAAAAGCTTAGTGTACGCAGTGCCGATTCAAACCGAAGAAGAGTTACGAAATCGTATAACAGTCTGCTGCCAAACTATAAGAAACACCCCAGGAATCTTTAAAAATGTGCATCAGTCTATGCAAAGAAGAGTAGATGCTTGCATACGTGTGGGTGGAGGACACTTCCAACAATTACTGTAAATAATTTGGGTTCTTTATTTTGTTTGTATTCTCTTGTAATTTCGTTTTAGATTCAAGATTTTGAATTTTCATTTTACTATAAATAAATCCCGATTTTTAAAATACATAGAATTTAAAAAAATCAGAGGTGTACGTTTTTTTTTTTCTATTCAAACATTCAATATGATGCCTACGTGGCCGTCACTGGTGGAAGTAGAAAATTAATTTTTGCCCCAAAATAAGTGTTTTCACGCATGGTGGGTGCCTACCAAATTTCAACAAAAAATCAAAAGCAGCTTAAGAAAAAAAAATTTTGGTTTTTATTTTTTTACGCTAACACAGTGCATCGTACGAAAGCAAGTCTATGGGCAAAATTTGCTCAAAAATAAATGAATATTTCAAAAATAATTTTGGATTTTAGAAAAAGCAGTGGCGTACCATTTTTTTCTTCAAAAATATTCAGTTCAAACCCCGTACGGAAGTCACTGGTAAAAATTTAAAAAAATCTTATATGTACGTCAAAAAATGCTCCTTAATGATTAAAAGGTGTTTACAAAATTTCATAGAAATATCTGCAGTGATAAGAAAATTATGAAAAAAAATATATTTTTTTCTTAAAACTGTAACACATTAAGAGATTTACGACATATGTTGATATTAACTTTTCTTCTTAAAATTACCCAAGGATTCACACCCTTAAGTATCGGCACTCAATTAATAAACACCCTGTATATAATTACATAGATGTGAACATCCATGAGTATATTACTGAATAAAGTTTTCTCTTTATCTAATACATGCAATGCTTATGTTTTATTTCAGTTTTGTCTTTTCAGTTTTAAACAATATGATTTATAGAACCAGTCTATAAATTAGAATCTTTACTTGAAATTGTGTCATTAAAATTTTCAAAGATTAAAGGTACATTTTATAAATAGTAACCATGAATAATTGGTACTGATAATTATGAAATGTTACTATGAAACTGAAATGTCCAATTTACAAAATTAATTTATTTTATTTAGTAATCAATATAACCTTGTTTTGTACAATTGTTAGTAATGATTAATATAAATAATTGTTAATTAATATTTTTATTAAAAATATCAATGTATTAAAATAGTTTTAATTCAAGAGACGCTAAAATGGTGGTTCCCACCTTATCGGGACTAAGGCCCACAAGGGTAAACTCTTAGCGTAAAAAAAACGAGAAATGATTTAACTTGGAACGAAAGACCGAAAGCCGATAGTAGTATTAGGACGTTGAATTTTTGAATTTTTTGGTTTATGAAGCATTGGCATAAACCTTGTGATGATTTTCACAAGCATTGATTTTTAAAACCATTCTATATCGCCTTTTGATAAGGGTTTACAAACTTGTTCGAGTAATTTATCCAATAATAATTGGCCCCTTTACCTCTTAAGCCTGCTCATGTAAAATATTTGGGCTCCTTACTTCGCCAATTTATATAATATTAATAAAGGACAGAAGGATGAGTATTGCAACTATGTTAAAAGAAATAAATTGGGTTTCAGTTCAGAATTATGTTCAGTACATGATTGATATTTATTTATAAAATAAAAATAAAACAGTACCATCGCATCAGATCTATTAGAAAAAATTCAATATAATTCGCAATATCACAACTATAATACAAAAAGCCAATCTGACTTTCATCTACGGCAAACCATCACTAAAAGTTCCCAAAATACAAAAATCTAATAGACTGCCTATAAAAATTAAAAATCTGATGTGTCCAACACATGACTTTCCTATCTAGTTATTATAGGCTTTTTCCGGTTATTTTGTACAACCTATTACAGCATCTCTATAAATGTTTAGAGGATAAACTAAATATATACATTGTCCACATACATCTACCTCGAAACATTTTTCTATAGATATTCATTGAAAACGAAAGTACTGAAAAATTTAAATTTAGCACTATAGAGATCGATATCGCAAACAACTTTTAGTTCAACAATTTTCATAAAAATCAGAATTTTGCACATTTTGTCAAATTTCTCGAATACGAACCATTACAGGAAATTTTGACAAAAAGCAAAAATTATAGATAATAATACTAGACGTAACTTTTATTTGAACAATTTTTTTCTCCAAACATAAATAACAGATATATTCCATAAAATATAAAAACGGCATCCCATAAAGTACCCCCCAGATGTTCCGACTTTGTCCAAAATCTAATCATTTCATGTCAGGCCAAAATAAAACTTAAGTTTAAAATTTGGTGTTTTTCTGTGTATCGGTTCATGAGTTATGGTGGATACAGACACACACACACACACACACACACACACACACACACACACACACACACACACACACACACACACACACACACACACACACACACACACACACACACACACACACACACACACACACACACACACACACACACACACACACACACACACACACACACACACACACACACACACACACACACACACACACACACACACACACACACACACACACACACACACACACACACACACACACACACACACACACACACACACACACACACACACACACACACACACACACACACACACACACACACACACACACACACACACACACACACACACACACACACACACACACACACACACACACACACACACACACACACACACACACACACACAGACACACACACAGACATCATCGCGAAAATATTCAAAACGGATTCAGGGGACCTCAAAACGTAAAAATCCGTAAAACTCAAGGTCGAAAAAAATCATGATTTATATATTTTCTTTATATCTGTATACAGATAGGAAAGTAAAAAAGCAATATTTTACAGTATAAATGTTGTCCCTTATATGCAATCGTTTATTTTAATTTAATTTTAATTCTATTTATTTTAAATTTCAGACTGCTTCGATGCCCCCGAATATGTTAGTTGTGGATCGAAAACGAATTTAATCCCAGTTTGGACCTGGGACTATAGATATGAAAAATGTATCCTGGATACGGCAGGGGGATGCAAAAGAACCAACAACTCATTCCATTCGAAAGAGCATTGCAAAGAAATAGCAAAACCAGTTTGCAACAACCTAAATATCTACTTAGAAAAAAACGGACATGAATCTTCTCACCACCACCACCATCATCATCATTAAGAAAACACATTTGTAGAGCAGCTTTATTAATAAAACATATTTTTCTGTTTTAAATGTATCAGTTTGTTGATTAATTATCATTCAATGCTCTAAATCATGGAAAAACTAAAACTTTGGTTTTATAGACTGTAAAATTCATGTTAGTTGTCGGAAATAACATGTTGAATCTATCAATAAATAAATAAACAAACACTTATTATTTATGACCAGAACTAATTCAGCACAAAGGCATAAATAATAAAAAAAAATGTGTTTTATGTGTTATAAATTTTAAATATATGTAGTTAAAATAACATTCCGAAAATATGAGTATATTTTCTGTAATTTTATCAATAATAATAATAATAATAATACATTTACACAGTGTGGTTATTGTTAGAATTAGACTTGAAATTTCAGAATTCACTGTAAAATGTCAGTTCTAAATCATTTTAAGCGAATGCTTTAAAATAGAAATATCTTGGAATATAGTTTTTGAAAAAACAAGACTATTTTAAGTATTGTATTTTAATTTCCTCCCACAGTTTTCAATTCGTTTGTAGATAAAAATTGTTCTATATAAATAATTGGACAATTAGGCATTTTAATAAATTCATATTTATTTGAGTAAAATCAGTGGCCATAGCTTGACACAGACAGCCTCGGTGCAAGATAGTTTTCGAACCCCCTGGGTATAAACAACTAAAAAATAAATAATAGGTACTAAAAATAAATAGTAGAATAAAATAGACCTAAAACCAGGTGATAAAAATAAAAAACAAATTAGAGGAGCTTGTTATATATTTTTTTAGGCCAATTTTTTATTGGGTTTCGGCTCTTGGGACTAGGGCAGTTCGAGTCGATATATTGAGACAAATTGTAATAATAGATAATTTTAAAAATACTCTGCAGAATCTTGAATACAGAGATACAACTTAAATCTAGAATTATTGAAAAATATTTGTTGAAAAATTATACAAATGTTATTATATTATAAATAAATGGAGAACACCCCGTATACTGACACTCAAAATATTATTCACTATATAAACAAACTAGAAACATAAGTAGTTGTGAAAAAATAACTAAAGCAGTTTTTAAAATGAATACATATGTTAAAATATTTTTCTTCGCCCTATATCTAGAAACTACAAGGATCTTGATAAGTTTTCACACGGATCATGAAATGGGATGGTTATACATTAACAAAATACAACAACGTATTTTCTGGATATAAATTTTAAACAAAATTGTAATTTTTCTTAAGTTAGACAAATGATAATGTAACACTCTGTATACAAGAAAAAAACACTATTGTAACAATAAGTATAACATATTCAAGGGAATGGTATTGAACATGGATAAAAACAAAAACCCTTTCTTTCTTGAAATCTGCCAATCGCTCTCAAATTATGCGAACTACCACCCCTACAAATTTGGACGCCAAGTTTGGAAACACCCTGTATATTAATTACACACTTATTGAGCAACCTGTATTTTTTTTAATTTTGTAGTTTCCCATCTACTAGAAAAAATATATTGAACAACTCTGTCCAGGACGCATGCGCAAATTTCGTACTAGTGCGATATTGGCATCGACATCGTATCCACTATTGTTGCACAAAATGCTATTAGTGTTTTTTTTTTAAGAAAATATAAAATAATCTGACTAGTTTATTAACATAAACAATACATACTAGTAAATCAATTTTTAATTTTACAATTTGCTTGATAGTGCTCCCACCTGAACTCGTTAAATCAAACTATTTGTTAGGACGAACAATAGCTAATTAAAATGTAAACTGGGAGCCAATAATGATAATATTATGTAGTGTCAAGAATAAACGGAAAATTTAAATCATTTAAAATTTTGTTCAGACTAGAAATCGTATCGAAAATTATATCAACATTCACGAAAGCACAGTTGATGCTGTAGTAAAAGAATAATAATTATTTAGTTTGGTATTGTCGGCATTAGTGTTAGTTTTAACACTAAATTTATTCGATTGGTGTAACACGGAGGAATAAAGATGTTAAGTTATAAAGGACATAAACAAGTCTTTTCTGAAAGGTACTAAATCCAAGGTGTTGAAAGTGCTGTGATAATTAAATAATAAAATTAATTATGAGGAATAAAGAAGAAACCCAATTCATTACAAATTGATGATATTCTCGTTTTGAACGTATCTGGAAGATCTAGAAGACTTCATGTATCTTTAATTCGTTAAAATGTGAAAAGCTTTTAAAATGGACGAGATTAGGAATGTAATAGAAATGATATTGGTTACAAAGCTAACTACCCTGTGTTAATCCTACATAAAGATGGTTACTGGTAAAAATATTAGGTTTTACTCTACTGCTATAAATACCGCCATATTTATCCAATTAAATTTAAGTAGAGAATGTAATATAACATAGAAAAAGTGATTTTAGGGTGAATTCAGCTTAAGATCAATGTTCATCCTTGAATGAAAAAAAAAGTGTTACGAAACCCAAAGAAAACTAAATTTATTGGTAATTCAAAGTATCTTATTACATTTTCTCTATATGGAACCAGTTACTATCATAGGTTTGCATGTAATATGTTTTAAATATTCAAATTCTTTTTTAAAAATAAGGTAAAATAACATTAATCTTTTTTCTCACAAGAGGAAGTTAATCATAATAATCGTTTATTTAGTTCATTAAAAGTATGTACATGACTTTGTAAAAACTTCGGTTAAATATTCACCTATCCTAAAACGAGTAATGTATAGAATTTAACTTTGATATCAAAGAATACAATTGTCAAACTTACCAACTTTTACGAATCGTCGACTACGAGGGGGACCTGATTCTAACTTTTACAATACTTAAATATAATTACGGAAATCTTAGTGACATTTTTTTGTTAAATAGTGACACTCGTCTACGTGGTCATGAACTAAAATTAAAAATGGAAAACCTAAAAACGAAGCACAAACAATCATTCCTTTTCAACCGGGTGATTAATGTATGGAACGATCTCAACGACGAAGTTGTTGGTGCCATAACAATTAACGTCTTTAAAAATAAGTTAGACGAGTGTTTGTTTAATATTATTATTTAATTTTTAGTGCTCTCATCTTTTCTATCAACAAATTTAAGGCATACAAATGCCCGGGGCCGAAAGGAATATATCCAATTCTGCTCCAGAAGAGTAAAGATGTTTTAATGCCACATTTGTGCAAAATCTTCAGAGATATATCCCAGCAATATGGAAAAAGGCGAAGGTAGTATACCTTGCCAAAGTAGGTAGGGTCACAGACCAAACGCCAAAGGCAGGTCGCCCCATAAGCCTATCGTCCTTCTTACTTAAAACTCTAGAGAGATTGATAGATACTAAAAATAAATCCGCTCCATCCCAACCAATATGCATACCAGCCAGGAAAGTCAACTGACCTAGCGCTGGACGATCTAAACAGACTGCTTTCAAAGTCAATAGATGACAAAGAAATCACAATAGCCACTTTCTTAGATATCGAAAGAGCGTTTAACAATACTTCAACCAGGTCAATAACAAAGGCTTTAGAAGAGAGAAACGTCCCAGTTACAATATGCTAATGGATCACTGCCTGTCTAGCAAACAGGATCATTTTATCCACTCTAGGAAAGGCAACCATACAGGCAAAAGTTACACGGGGCTACCCACAAGGAGAAATATTATCTCCAATGCTGTGGTCAGTTCTTGTGGACGATTTACTCATAACATTATTCAAAGAAGGCTACTCTGATAGCCAAAGAGCTCTAAAGGTTAATTCTCTCACCAGAAATCAAATCACGACTGGTGAAAGACTGTCCAGAAGACCTGGCAGATCTAAGTAGTCAAAACAAGGTGACCCTAGCCTGGGTGCCAGGCCATGAGGGATATTAAGGCAACGAAAAGGCCGACGAATTAGCCCGGGAAGGCTCAGATAAGGCCATGGCTGGCCTCGAACTCTTCTGTAAAGTTGCTTAGGCATTGCGCAAGGCATCCATCTAACAATGGATGCAAAAAGAGTCTTAGGAATTGTGGAACAACTATCCACGTCTAAGACAGACTAAACAGTTCATCAAGGCACCATCGGCCAAGCTCACCAAAAGCGTCAAATCGTTAGGTATTCTTACTGGATACTGTCACCTCAAAAGCCACATGAGTAACATTAATCAATCCAGCAGAAGAAGCAACTTTGTGCAGATTCTGTGAAGAAAAAGAGGAAACTTCATTCCACGTCCTGTGCCAATGTGAAGGCTTGGCTGGAATGAGGTTTTTAACATTGGGCGAAGAGAAGCAAAACGCGTGTAACTACATGCAGGAACGACTGTCACAGCTACTAAGTTTAATAAAAAAGACCAAGCTAGACAACATACTTCAAAACAAACGGAGTCGCGATGGACAAGGACAAACAACGCCCAACTTCTAATCTAAAGGTTGTGGTATTCACTAGGATGAAAAGAGGTTTGCAGGAATATTTTGCACTGCAGATTTAACAAACAATTTCTTTTGTCTAATTTCTCTTATTTCAAATACTAATTAATTTAGTCTGGGGCAAAACTCATTTTTATGCCCATTCTAAGTAAGATTGGCATCTATATTTACTTAAGAACTTGTTATGTGTTTTATTATTTTTATCACTTACTTTGATTTGATTTCACTTACTACAAACTGATTTTGTTGAAATTAAAATGGAAACCAATGCTAGCAATGTTGATTACTCAAATAACGGCTCAATTATGAATGAATGAATTAATTATTCTAGTAGTTTTTTTGCCTTTATGTATTTCATAGATCACTTGGAACACCATCGTTCCTGTGGTGAATTTTAAAAGCTCAATTATCTTTCATTTTTGGGACCATCAAGTGTATAACAGTTCGCCTCCTTCTTCCATCTTCGTAGTTACAGTATCATTGGTTATAGCTGTCATTACGTTTAAATAATAAATACTATTAGATCTCTAGAATGTAAAAAACAACATTTTAAAACTGAAAATATTTTATTTTATCGAAATGTTTGAAATTATAGATACCGCGTACACTTTTTTATATTTTTAAGTGTAAATACAATTTTTATGACGAAAAATAATTATAATTATTATTGATTTATCAATTGTTGGATACAATAGTATTACAATTTTTTATGGTAAATTTTTAAAATTGGATAACCTTACATAATATCATAGTGTTGTAAATACCCACATTAGAATGTTTAAATTTATTTTATGGAATATATCACAAATTGTTATGCTTGTTGGTTTATGTAAAACAATATTTGCAAGTGATTTTGGAAAAGAAGGTAAGCAAATAACAAAAATTATAATTAATGTTTTTTAGTAATTACTTGCAAAAACCTAAACATAATATTAATAAATATTGGCA